AGAGAAAGTTTTTTAAAGTATTAATGTAAAATTTTAGCTGCTGATCAGGTTTCAACGCCTCCGTTCACAAGAATGGTGGCAATGTATAATAATGTCTGATTTATACATTTTCTGGGCTCCCGGACCAGCCAATTGGAATCTAATATTGTAACATTCGACGCTTATTGGTAAACAAAAGAATCGCGAATTCCTATATAAGGCGAAAACAGAGTATCTTTCCCGGAAGTGGAAAAGTTCATTCCGAGCGTTGCCTTAAACTGAGTGTATGAATTATATAATAGTATTATGGACATAAGAAAATGCTGAAATCTCTTAAAGTATAATTCAACTTGTTAACGTCTGATATATTAACGATGGATCATTCCAAAATTTACAGGTATATTCGATTTTGATAGAAATCGACAAGTGATTCCAAACTTTTGACCGGCAGTCTATATCTCGCCGTCTAGTCTACCAATAAGCGCACGAATTGCAAATCTCATTCATTTAGACTTTTCTAAAATTTATAAGATAAGCGTCCCTTATATTTCATTAGCGATTCATCGATAGCAAAGTCCTTGTAAGAGTAAAAAATTACAGGCGCTTAAAATGACATATTAAAATAACGTCGGTTCACTCGTTGATGGCTAGGAACGATAATGTGTGTGCCGCTGCCCGTTTTCCCGTTTTTATATGCTTCTTCGGCCGTTAGGGCCCAGCAAGCTGTGGGGTGGGCAGCCTGTGCGCTGCTCCTTGTCCAGGGCCCCAGATCCTTGTCGGATGGTGTGTTTACATTAGAGTGGAAAATTGGAAGGGCAGTTAGTGAGGTGTGTTACTCACCGAATTCTTTGGAGAAAGGGTGCAAATCAGGATTCTGTGGTTATCCTGTAACCGTACGGTCGACACATTGGAGAGCAGATCAGCTGGTGTTGCGAGAATAATCGCCTGAATCCAAATAACGTAGACTTTTAATTTAGTTAACCCAGCTGATCTTAGTCCAGCTATGTGACGTCGAAGAGGATTGATGATGGCACGGTACCTATAAAACAACAATATCTGCTTATCCACAGGGCAATCTTGAAAAGAAATCTTCAACATTAAATCGATACAACTATCATTCGTCGTTTCGAATTCAATATCGAAGTTTTGTACTGTGAATTTACAAACGGAACGAACGAATCCTACCGTTCATTTCTCTCTCGAGAGAGAGAGAGAGAGAGAGAGAGAGAGAGAGAGAGAGAGAAAGTTACGTTTGGATTACTGATTAGACGTTCGAACAACCAGCTGACTGGTCCATTAATGGGCCGAGCAACTTCGTCACAAGTTACGATGGTCTCTATACTATCTCTGAAACAACAATTTCCTCGGTCGTAACTGGGTTTGACAACTTACCTCTCGGCTGATAACGCGGTCAGAGTGAAAACTGAAACGCCGATCGAGACATCCTTGGTGAACTCTGATAACTTGCATATTTGCAGGCCCCACGGCCACGACTAAGCGATGTAAATGGTACACACGTCACGATCACCTAAAATATCGCATATGTTACAGGAAAAAATATTCCACCGAAGAAAAAAAAAAGAAGGATTTTCTGCACTTTGAGAAATTTCACGCTTTTCTGCGATTCTGAATTTTCTGCCCTCTCAAAAATTTGGCGCTTTTCTGCAATTCTGAATTTTCCGTCCGAGCTCTAGTTTCGTTAAATTACAACGAAACTGTTGAAATGTTCAAATTTAATGGGTTCCAGTTTACTAGGTGTATCTGAACGAGTTAAAAATTACGCGCTTCCGAAGATTTGAAAAACAGAAGGATCGTGTAATAGAACGAATGATACTCGCGAACGACTCATTTGTGTACACGCGTCAGCGAATGATAAAATCGGTAGGGAGAAAGCGTTTATCGACGCGCCATTGTTTTCTGTGCCAATTGAAATTAAAAGGTTACACTCTGATGATAGAGTATGTATACAGAGTGTCCCGTAACTCTTTGTACATCCGGAAATGGGGGGTTGGTGGGGTGACTCTGAACAACTTCTTCCTTTACCAAAATGTTGGTTGAAGCTTCGTTTTTGAATTATTAACGAAAACCACTGGCCAATCACAGCGCCCGTAGAGCCGGATGTTCGAAGAGTTACGGGACACCCTGTATATTCAGTTGAAAACATTATCTACAAACAGTACGCGGCTCGTCGTTTTCCGCGTTACGTACACGTACAACTCATTCCATAGAAAATGTTCGTTCAATTAGAGCGTGATAAATGCAATTTACCTCGAAATAACAACTCGAAATATACCACGCTCGTATAAAAACTCTCCAATGAAAAATAAGATAACAGTGATAAGTGTATACATTAGGTGTATAAATTAATTCGATGCTTTTTTTCAAAGAGTCTTGGAAACTTTATCGACTCAAAATCGCCATACTTTTTCAGAGAGGGAGAGAGAATTCGTCAGTTGTCCAATAAATGGAAAAAAGGTCGTTTAACACTTTCACTGCTGTTCGCGCCTGTTTTGCCACGCAAACGCGTCGAGGACGACAAGTCTAGCAGAGTTTGTAATTCTCGACGTCGAAATTACTTCGCGCCGCGTGCTTAGTGACTCCCTATTATTTTTTAGAAAATAGGGATGATTATGTATGTAACTAACTGTTTATTTTAAACTTTAACAATATTACTTTTCCCTAACACTATTTAACAAATTGACTACTGACTATTGGTATTCTAAGTGATGAAACTGTGATGGTTACTGTGTGATGATTGCTGGTAGACTGATCTAAGACATTACTCCTAGAGACTTCCGAGACAGCCAGGAAGCTCTAGGAAGTGTCTATTTTTTGATTGGTGATTGACAGAAACCAATGAAATCGTGTGAAGACTACCACCACCCTGTTCCGTACGACCTTGGCGCCTTTCGTGGAGAATAGGGGGTGATAGGTGAAAGTGAAAGTGAAATTTGGCAACGTCGCGGAATTTCCGTTGGGCCTGGTACCTGCGACGGGGTCAGCGATGAACCGAGCTGGATACGGTCGAACCCCGGCGCACGGCCCGTTGGAAATTCACGTTTTATGACACGGACAATTGGCTGTTGAGATCGTGACTGACGTATTAAGAAAACAAATTCTAAAGAAGTTAAAAGACAAAACGATTCCTCAAAAACAGCCCTTGAAATTGTGTCATGAAACGGTTTTTTGTCATGAAACGGAAAATTGTGTCCTTTGTGCAAATTGCTAGCCGCTACGGCTCGCCGGACGTCTTACAAACTATGGATTATAAAATTAAATCTATGGTTATTTCGAGGGTGCTCCGCGGAACACAAATTGTATCTAATATCGTCGAAAATACTCGCGGCTGTATCCTCATTTTCATCAAAAAAATCTCACCAACATGTTAACAAAAATTTCAGATGAAAAAAAGTAAAATTAAAAAAGTTATATTATTCTAAATATTATGAATTGTCCAGCCATGAAATCTCGTAAAAGAAACCGGGTGGTGTAGCGTTACACGCTTGACTGACTGCGAGCGAGATAGAATAGGCACAGCAATGACGTAGACCTAGGCGTGGGACCATCTATACTGACACTTATATGTAGAATCCAAACTAGCTGACAGTTGTAGAGACATTACTGTACCCCGGTTGTTCAACAACAGTGAATATTTTGGTTGGCTACACAAGGGTTAAATAAAGTGTTTTGGGGAGAAGCAGTTCTCACTGCAACCTATCTAATTAATTTAACCCCAACAAAGGCTTTAAAACAAAATAAAACACAATTTGAATTGTGGCATGGTAAAAGGTCTCGAGTAAAGTATTGAAAAATTTTCGGTTCCATAGTTTATATACATAATAAAGTCAGAAAAAACAAAATTTGATGAAAAATCGTGGAAGGGTATATTAGTGGGGTACGAACCCAATGGATATAAAGTGTGGGACGCGGAAAATGAAAAATTTGTAAGAAATGCGAGATTTCGGCGGCGAAGTGGTGGCCTGGACTTTGTCACCCAGGAAGAGAAAGCGCGCGGGTACCTGAGGGTACCATAAACGAAGCCCTTTCCCCGGAAAGTCGAACGAGGGGGCTCCAACGGTTTTTCGGAGCAACGCAGGATAGGACGCGGAGAGGACACTATTACTGAAGCCGTCGAGCGAGACGGACACCCGAGTAATCTCGTCACCGCTTATATTAAATACTACATTTTAGTTGATGGCCTATCGTGTATTCGTTTATTTAAGTTGTGCCGACAAATTTGTCGCGGTAAGAGATGTGATAGTAGACGAAACAACTTATTTGAACTCTCGGCCGGTAATAAAACTTGATGGGGTTAATTGTGAAAACTCCCATAATAAAACTGATGATGCATCTGACATATGGTCAAAATCAGGCGAATAGTCTTATAAATCTGATAATGAGAAATCAGATATGTTAGTAGATCATAAATCTGATAATAGGTAATCAGATGTCGCCGGGCCGAGTGTGAAGAAAAGTTGTGAAAAGAAATTAGTCGAGGAAACTAATAAACCTGTAACTGAAACAGATATTAATAATGAATCTTCATCTCAAAATGATAAAAACAAAATGCAAGAAACACCTGAGCCTAGAAGGAGTGATAGGATTAGACAACTACACCCTGTATCTTATTGTGATGCCCGGTTTGCTCCAATTCCTCGAAACTAGAAGCAGATATTGGGGTATCACTGAATTAATACACTTAAGGGGGTCTTCTAGTGTGACGGTTTAAGAAAATCGATTTCTCTTTTTTTTTGCATATATCGAAAGTACAACTCTTTAAAAATGTGTTCCTAAAATTTGATAGTTGTATTCGATAAAATAACGAAGTTATAGCTCGTTTAGCGGCGGTAGGGAGAATAGAGTTTTGCAACAGTTTTCTTTTCGTCCCATATGAAAGATTTTTGGTTTGTCGATTTTATGTTTTCTCGCGTTGACACTTCCTTCTTTTACTAAGTTTATTCCTGCTCCTGTGTCCAGTAAGTATACTGTTGCTCCTCTTCTGCTTCTGAGTTGTACGTTGATTAATCTTCCTGTTGTGGCGTTGACTCGTAGCAATCCTCTTGTTCTTCTTGTGTCATCGTTTCGTATTCCAGTTTCAGGTTCTTGTCCTTTCCTTGGATGTGGTTTACTCTTGGTGGAGGTAGGTTTCGTTGGTTGGGGATTTGAAAATTTCGGCATTGAGGTGCTATGTGTCCAATTTTTACAAATTTAAAGCATTTGGTTTGCGAGCGTTCTTCTAAAGGTGTTCGTCCTGGGAGGTGGTGTTGGTCTGCTAGGGATTTGTGCGCGCGTCGGTCGGTGTATCGATTTGTTGGTCCAGTGGGACCTCTTCTCCATTCTCTTTGTTCCTCTCTTAGGTAGCGTTCTACATCGGCTGCTTTTTTCCCGCTTTCACTCGGTGAGGTGGGTTGTTCGTTTGCTAGTAGGATTCGTCCGATGTCGTGTCGCAGTCCTTTCAAGCAAATTCGGCTCGACTTTTTTCATCGTGGCTTCGATCATGATTCTTCGCATAAGTGGTTGTGGGTTCCCGTTTGTAATTGAGTAAGTGAGTTTCTTTAATGTGTGTCGGAAACGAATGTTAAATGTTTCTTCGCGACCTTGCTTTATTTCTCGCAGTTGTTTACTGTATTATTCTGTGGTTAGTTTTACTGCTACGTTTGCTCTTATTGCGTCAAATAATTCTGCGTTACTTTCAATAGGTATGTTTCGGATGCTTCGAGCTGCTTTTCCTACTATTTTATCGACTTTGATTGCTTTTAGTAATAATGCGGTTTGCAAACATTGATTTCTCATTGCGCGGATTTCTTTAATAAAATCTTCTACTCCTATATCGTCGACACCATTCAGAACGGGTATATATCTGATCGCGTCTTTGGCTGATAGCATATGTTGACGTGCGTTATCTTGAACTTGAAATTCTTCGTCACTGTCTGTTTCGGGTAATTCTATGGGTGCGGTCGGTATGTTATCTCTCGACTGTCGGTTTATATTTCTTGCGGTATTAATTGATTCGAAGTCTTCGGTTATTAATGTTGCGCGGCTTCCTACTCCTAGTCGTAATTCGGCTACTGTTCGTCCTAACATTTCTACTTCTCCAGTTCTCTTCTGATTTTCGTCATTAGCTTGTTGCGTTAACGTTTCAATTTGATTCTGCATTTGATGTTGTAATTCGGCAAACATTCGCGCGTGCGATTCATTTTGTTTATTCATAGCATCTAACATCTGTCTAATGCTAACTTCATCCTTACTCGTGGATGCTTTGTCTTTTGACATTTTCTCGAATAAAAGTACTTCGTCTGAGTCTTGACTACTGAAGCTAGAACGTCTAGTCCTATATTGAACAAATGAATCCAACTTTTACCTTGAATATTCAGCTTCCGTAGAGTGCTTTGTTCACAGGTTTTCTCAGGATTCGTCTATTGTGAAGTCGAATGACCGTAGTCCAAGTTAATCCAGCTGTTCCTCGTAACTAGGATGTCTTGTTTTCCCAACAAACACTTTTCACTATCCTGGCAGGATCGCCAAAATGTCACGTAAAATGACTGATGAAAATATAAAAAAGAAAAGGGAAGGTTGAGCCGTAGCCCAACACTTGCACTCTTTTCCTTTCTTTATTCAAATTAATTACAATATTACAATGTCGAAGTACAATATGAACTTTCGTAGTAACGATGCTCTTCAGTTTATGAATTGGTCAAGACTGGCCTTGATGGCACAAGGTCTGGGTTATATGTCTTTTTGTCCGTGGGTGCTGAGGGGAAAAGAAATGGTCTCGAGTGGCGTACGTGTCAAAGGAAAAATGTGTAGTGGCGGCTGTCCAAAGTTCAGGGTTAGCTGATAAGGATGCTCTTGACTTTTGAAATTAACCCTCCGACTACTACAGAGTCAGTTCTGACTCACACCGATACTTCACTAATCATATGAATGGTTGCTCGAGCGCCTCACCGATATGACTCAGCCAGTGACGGCCGTTCGAGCTCTTGGCTTTCACCAATACATTGTTAGGACCTATCTCTAGCTGTATGAATTTTCGTTATACATATAGGAAAAAATAACACAATGATTCGTTACACATATTACACAAAATCGTTTGACTTTTTGTGCAGTGATTGTTACATACATGACGTTGACATTTTTCACATATAGTTGTATATCTGTTGTTGCCCCCTATTTAAAAACAACATTTAGCGCGCTTTTGTTCTGCAACTCTTGGCGGTTTCAAAATTTTCCTTCCCGTCGCTTCAATGGCACTTACAACATTTCTATTTAGGCCTGTCTGGTTGGATTCAAATTCACTAGCTCGACTGTCTATATTTGCATTAGTCAATTTTTTTGCTAATTCGTCTAAAAAGTATTTCCTTTCCTTCAATGGCACTTACAACATTTCTATTTAGGCCTGTCTGGTTGGATTCAAATTCACTAGCTCGTCTGTCTATATTTGCATTAGTCAATTTTTTTGCTAATTCGTCTAAAAAGTATTTCCTTTCCTTTTGAAATGACGTTTTATTTTGCCATGTCGGATATTTGGTGTACCAGATAACAAATGCATTATATGCTGCGATGTCCAGGTACAACGTCTACACGAATACTCTTTCACGAGTTTATCGAGTACATCCACTCCACTTTTCGAAGAGTTGTAAAATTGTATTATTTTCGGTTTGAATTTTTCTTCTTCGTCACATATACTATTGTCGTGGTGTATTGTAGATAATAAGAGTACACATTTTCGCGGTTTTGGAATATAAGAAACAATAGTCAGTTTTTCGGTAAATAAAAATTCAGACGAATATTGTGATCGATGTTTCGTTTCGGTTAAGATTTTCGGAATATCGCGTTTATTTTTTCTCAAGGTTCCTACCAAAAACAGATTTCTTTCTAGCAAATATTCCCCTAAACCTAAGTCTGTAAAAAAATTGTCTGTAGTTATAGAGCGTCCCGAATTTTCCCAGAAGTCTATCATCTGTTTGACAACACGTTGCCCCTGCTGCTCTTCTGGATTATTTCCACATTTTCCTAGGTATACCTCCATGTTACAGCAGTAGAAGGTTTTAGAATCGCATAGCGTCCATATTTTGATCCCATATTTTCCAGGCTTACTTGGCATGTACACTCATCCACACAACCAATGTCTGATGCGTTGTAACAACTTTTGCAATTTTTGATAAAGGTGTCCGTAACGTGCCTAATTGGGGCCAATTTGTCGTCCGTCTTCCTTGCTTCACATGTAGCGGTATCGTCGAAGCGAATATACCTTAGTATATCCGTAAATCTATCTCTAGACATTACAGCAGCATAAAACCTTGTTGAAAGTGCATCATTATCTTTCCACAAATCGCTTTGGCATTCTCGTGATTCTCTGAATCTCCCAATTAGTAATAATAGTCCGAAAAATGCATCCATTTCTATGCGGTCTACTGGTTTCCATTTCTTGTTCGATGGCATGCTCTCACTCGCTTTTTTATTTGCCCATAATATGAGATCGTCGATCATTTCTTCATTGATAAATAAATGGAAGCACTCATCTTCTGTTTCTATATGTTCACTTTGTTCGGTAAGTGAACATTTGCGTGGAAGATTTTGCAATGTTGTACTGTTCATTGGTGCAATACGTTGCCAATTACGTCCAGATACCGCTACACTTTCTGCAGATTCTGGTGTATCTTCTTCATCCGAATCAGAATTTTGTTCTTCAGGTTCAGCATCGCTGTTAGATGCATTTCCACCATCAGATGATTGTTCACAATTGTGAAGATCCTCTTCCTCAATCTCATCAATAAGAAATCGTTCATTTTTTTGAGAGGTAGACATTTTGCCAAGTAATAAAAGAACAAAAATAACAAAACAATAACAAAAATAACGGAAATAATGAATAATAAATTAGTAAAAATATATAATCGAACTCTTGGCGCACGTCTTTTTCTCTCAAAGTGTTGTATACAACTAATCTGCCTCAAAGCCAGCGACGTTTTCCATTACGGAATTATGGTGGTGGTAGTGTCTAAACTCTGGCGGTCTCTTTGCTACTAATACAGACAACTTCGTTACTGTGTGCGTTACCATTCTCAAGTTTCAAGTCGACGTGATGCGTTGCAACGAGTCACGAATGACTCCGGCCCAGGAGGCGGAGGGTTAAGGTGTGGTCGGTGTCACAACTACGCGGCTCAATTTACTCTCTATCCTTGTAATTCTTACAATTCTTATGTTTCGATGTTTCTGGCCCGCAGTGCTCCTAACGCGCCCTTATATGCCGGCTTTGATGCCCCTCTCTTGCCTTCGGGGAACCCTGGCGCAAGTTGGGGGTTTCTACCCGGCAAGGACCGCGTCGCGCGAGCACGTGGCTGGGTCCTAGCGCGTGGGTGAGTTAGGCGTTGGGACCGGGTTCTTCCGCAGACCGAGAGGTCTACACAAAGACTTTAGTATTTAGTTGACCCTCCTTTGTTTTTAATTATTTGAAATATCCTTTTTGGCATCGAGTCTATTAATTTATGCAGTGTCTCCGATTCGATTTAAAACCACGCCTCTTTGATGCCATTTTTGATCTCCATGGTGTTAGAATATTGTTTCCCATTGGTGTATACCCTGCGTGCCAAAATTCCCCAAAGGTTTTCTATAGGGTTCAAGTTGGGACTTCTTGATGGCCAAGGCAAGACCTCAACATTCACTGTTTGAAACCATGTCCTAACAGTTTTTGCCCGATGAATTGCGGCGTTATCATGCTGAAATATAAAATTTGGTCCACCAATTTCGTCACCATAGTGGTCTAATGCAATTTCCAGCAGTTCTTGGTATTTTGCAGCATTCGCCTTTGGTGGAAACCACATTATCGGAGTATTACCATTGTACCCAAACGCAGCCCAAATCATTACGCTACCTCCTCCATAGTTTCGACTTATTTTTACTTCTTTTTGGTCACGCAGATCGTGCCAGTAGTACTGGAAGCCATCTGGGTCATCCAAATGAAATTTTTTTTCATCAGAGAAAATCACTGTTTTCCATTTTTCAGTCCATGCCATATGATTTTCAGCAAATTTTAACCCCTCATTTTTATGAAATTCAGTTAGAGGAGGCTTTTTTGTTCTTTTTGTGTAACAAAGTATTCCACTCGCTCTTAAAACTTGTTGCACTCGTCGAACACCAATTGGCAAGTCTAATTTTGTCTTTATTTGAGACGCATTAAGTTTCTTTTTTCGAACCTCTTGAAAAATCTTTCCCTTATCTCTCAAACAAAGCTTTTGTGGACGGCCTGTAGATTTTTTAGTGGCATGTTTATTATCTAGTTGTACAAAATGATTGACAACATTTAAGGAACGTTGAACTTTTTCTGCAATTTTTCTGTTTGAAAGGCCCATGTCCTTTAAAGCAATGATTGTTCACGCGGTTCGCGACGTATTAAACCAGCGTGATTCCCTTACGAACTTTTACGCAGATAAGGGATGATTGACTGAGAATGGGGTTGGATTTTTGTAACAATCAATTATTGTGAAATCTAAGCTATCTTAAACTAGGAATCTTTATCAATGTAAGTGTCTAGGAAGTCGGTGTGAACTCGCGTTTTTTTTCTAGTGTAGTGAGAGGAGTTTGTTTTTATACTAATTCTATGTCCGTTGGTTTTCCTTCACCTTACCTCGGATAAGGCGTGTCTTAGGTTTTGAGACATGCGGATTGGTTAATGTCATTAGTCGGAAGTAGCGAGGGTGGTGGTTGATATTTTAACTGATAGGTTAGAAAAAATGCGGAAGGAGAAACAAAATAACCACCCCCAAGCGAACAGTCACTCTCAGGTAGAACACGTGCTCCCTGGGTGACCGTCGCGAAAATCCGCTTGCCTCGAAACCCGGAACGGTACAGGTAATAAACTTATGAAGCACTCTGAGGTGAACAATACATGAAAGAAACAAAGTAAAAATTCTAAACCTCGGTCATCGGTGAAAAAACAGGGACTTATAAGGAATGCGATGGAGAATCAATGGCTTCATAAAGTTATTGTCTCTACCGACGGGTCAGGATTTGGAGAAATATTTGAACGATGTAAAATTTAGAAATCCTGACCCGGTTTATGGAGGGCTCTTTCCCCTTGGGGTAGTGCAGGTATGTGCCGCGTAACAGATACATCATTTCAGTGTTCAGCTGTTGTAAAAATTAAATTTTCTCATGTATCGTACTCAACTACCATCCAATGAGACCATTTGAAAGAAGTGAAACTAAAGTACAAACATACAAAAAGGAGCAAACAAAACAGAGCAGAAGAATAGCAGAAAAGAAAAAATGACATGCTCGGAAGAAGCCACTTATTACGGGTCAGAATAAAGTCGTGCCTTTCTGTCGTGATAAAGAACGATTCTACGAAGAGAAGAGTTGTATGGCGCAAGGGGTGAGTTAATATTAAAAGCAACAAGCAACGAATAGTTGCGGTTGCGGAAGGCAAGCCAGGGTTTTCCTAAGTTATTGTTGTGACCGCCGCTATTCTGTGCTCTTCTGTTCGTCGTTTTTCTACCCTCTTTTGACTTGCTTTGTTAAATTAAATTTTGTCCGACGCGCGGAATGTCGACGAACTCGCTTCGTACGTTTCCGTAAAATTATGCAAAAACTGGTTCTCTGCCACCTTTGTTGGTGTTCGTGTCGCGAATTTGGGAAAGAGGGAGCCATTTCTTCAGTTTCTTTCAAGAATTGACAATATTGTCACGTAGCGTTAAATCTCAGAATGCAACTGGATCGAAACGTGTTACTGGTTCTGATTCGATTTTAGAGACGATGACGTTTTGGTGTACTCGGGGAATTTTGGACAGATTTTGAGTAAATGATATCAAAAATCTCCGGAGATATGGTATTTCTTCTGTGAAATAATTCGTTTATACCTTTTAACATGCCTTCTTACGTCTGTTGAACAGTTTTTGGGTAAATATTCAGGGAATGGACGCAATATAATGAAATACACCCGATGATTGAAAGAGTAGTTGTACTTATTTACGCGTTTATGTTTTTCTGTGGGATTAGAATGCATATTAAAAGTATTAAAAAATTTTAAAACACTTAGACATACCAAAAAATGGGATACATACTTCGAACGACTCTAAATTTAGTATGTTTTAATATAATTCTATGCAAGTAGTAAGCTTGTTATAGCTAAAATTTAATATAGATAAAGAACAATTATTAGTTAGTATTAAAGCATTAATATTTAAGCTTTAAGTTTAACATCTACTTTAGTTTTTATTAACATCTCCTAAAAATGTCAAGAAGTTCTATTGTCAAAATGTATATGAAAATAGACGAAAATGTTTTAAACATAATGGATGAAATGAATGTTTCGTAAAATGTAGGTACATTTTATTACTTACATAATTAGGTATGCACATGTTACGCGGAAGCGTATTCAAGCAGAGGGTAACTATAAAATGTCGCAGCAATCACACTGTAAGGAATTGTGTTGGTGATTATCCAGTCCAGAGCCGCTTAGATAGACGTTTTACGAGCAAGAACGCTCTCCGTTTCTTGTGAACACTGCTATACTCTGTTCAAAATGAGAGTAACCTCGCTTCGTGCATGGGACGTGCCTGGCTAGAACCACTAGAACCTCCAAACCCCCCACTTAACCGCCTACGTTTTTCTCCGTCTTACCCTCTGTGTCGCGTCGTGTTCTTTTGCGATGTTCAACAGGAAGCTCGTGGTCGCGACTGTTACCCGCCAAATTAATCTTGGGTAACTAGTTCAAAATCTACTTTGCTCGAACGTTAGCAAAACGTAGAGTGCGTCACGAGCGATTGACGACTTTGTTTCAAAGACTCGAATTGTACTTGAACGGCTGGAGAGAGTATCTTGTTCACACGAGAGAATCTTTCGAATGTGTTGTGTCTCCTCGAACGGCTGGAGATCTAGACGTGTTCGCTCGATGGAACCTTTTCTGAATCTCTCGCTCGATTCCCGAATTTTTCTGGAGTCCCCAGTGACTCCTCCGCCAAGTGCAAGAAGGCACGCTGATTGGTTTTTCACGTACGCACAAATTACCAATCAACGTGCCCCTTGAGTGTCACCCACCCTTCCACTGCGCCCTTTTCCTTGGAAGGAGTGGGGCCCTACCTGCGGGTGCGTGGAATCTTCGCTGTCCTTCGGTGACGCGCCGGAAATTCCCGCCAGGTCAACCCTCGGCCGAGAGTGCCGTTATAC